GATCTCGTGGAATAATTGTTAAGTAGCTGTTCATTGAAACAAAATGGAGTGGTTTGAATATGTACAGTACATGTGCCTACTGCCTAGAAATGAACAACTTCATGACAATAATTGAATTTCACTGCTGCAGTAGTTATTTCGATCTGTTTGCAAACCTTCATTTTGGTACACTGAGGCCTTTCCTCCACACTGATAGTTGCATCAATTCCATCTTAAGTGCAAAATTTCCTGTATGTCAGTCATCACCTAATGTTTAACTGCTTATATCCATTGTGACAGGGGCAACATAAAATTTATGAAGCCATGAAAAAGTAAGCTGTTTCATAGATCTTTTGCTGCATACAAATGTTTTAAAACACAATTGGGTTTCTTAACGTTAAGTTGTTACAATATGAAGGTATTTGTCTTACAAGTAATAATCCTCATCAAACTTGGCATCTTCAGCTGCATGCCTGTTTTCTAGTCTCTTACTTGGTGTCATTGAGTCAGGATTAGTTATTTCTGCTATCTCAAGAAGTTCTGCCTGTAAAATAACACCAGCATGTCACTACATCTGTAGCCCCAGTTCAAAAATTTGCAACTTTAAAAGAAAAAGTCACATCCTACAAGATAAACTAAGAAAAAAAAAGTAACATGCAGAAAATAAGTAATAGCCATAGACAGTATTAATAACAATATTGAGTTCCATGGGCCTTTCCGCACAAAACTAAAATTGTCACAAAACTAAAATTGTCACAACAACATCAAGGGACAAATTTTTTCATAACAAAGTTTTGCTTCCTCTGTTGCATCTGCATTAAAAATTTCCAAGCTGTCAAATTCTGTCAGCACCAGGTCTGCTCATGAGACCAGCCTGGATATTTTGCCACGGGATTTCAGGATTCATGCTGAGTTATTTTAAAGTTTTAGAATCCCCAAGTTTTGCTACAAAAGACAATTATTGCTTTTCTAGTAAACTGATTTCAGTTCAATTACACACTGTTTGTAGCTCTTATGACAAATAATCCATAAGTTTATCATGGTTTTGTTTATTTAGTTGATTTCATCCAGTTTTAACCTGCGACAAATTTTGTCCACAGCGCATTTGAAGTTTGTCTGCTTCAGCCAAAATTTGTCAAGTAGCAACAAACCATCCGCACCTGCAAATTGTTGGTGATGACAGAAATTTGTTTTAACAAACAACTTTTTTTAGCAAGTGCAGAAAGGCCCTTTTTTAACAAAATTAAAACAAGCAATACAGTTGAAAAATCAACAGGGATAAAAAATTGTGAAGTTCAACTATTAATGGGTGAAAAAAAATAGTTTGTGGCTGGAAGGGCCTTGAGTGTTGGTGAGCACCAAAAAGAAACTCAACCCATCGTAATCTGGAAAATTATCCCACATCACAATAGTACAGTATAGGATGTACATGTATATGTAAGTGCTCTGGTCACCAAAGCATCAATATCTAAGCTCTCCCATCCTGTAGCAAGACTACTTTACATGCGTAGTACCTCCCTGCCTTTAAAGATTCCACCCTTTTGGTTGGCAAATCCATATCTGGTTTCACCCAGACTAATCTCTGCATTATCCTGCAAAATGAAGTTAGTAGGTTTGGATCTGAAAATTCCTTACTAACGGTTGCAATTATCTTTTAATGACACTGACATCAATAAATATTAAATAAAACAAGACTTTTGTGACGATTTCCCCATATAGGACATGAAACTTGAGGTCAATTTTTTATTTTGGACACTAAGTGACCAACTCTCAATTTTTGGACACCATTGGCCAATTTTTGATTTTGGACACTAATGGTCAATATTTTAATTTAGGACACTAGTGCTCAATATTTGCTTTTGGAACTAGTGGCTGATTTTCTATTTTGAACACTAGTGGCCAATTTTTGATTTTGGACACTAGTGGCCAATTTTCCATTTTGGACACTAGTGGCCAATTTTTTTTTATTTTGGACACTAGTGGCCAATTTTTCATTTTTTACATTTCATTTTTCATGTACAGTGTACATAAAAAAAAAATGCAAAAAGGGATCATGCCACAAGCTGGAAATTTACCTTCATTCATCTTATGAAGCTGCAGCTATGTGCCAGTTTTTTACAACTGTACTAATCTTAGACTAATGATTGAAAGCTAACAATGGTCCTTAAAAATTTATATAACAAAGTTTACCAGAGGTAAATGTTGCTCAAATTCCCAGTCAAATTCCTCATCACTATTGCTCTCATCTTCTTGGTCATCAACCTTTGCTATGGTATCACTTTCTTCAATAAAAATTAGAAGTGTCATATGATTTGACTATACATGTAACTATAAAGTACGGTAGTCCAGCAGAAAACAATTTACCAAAATCATGAATGTGTAAAAAATTATAAACTATGCTTACCAACAATTTCAACGAGAGGCTTCACATTCAAAGATGCCTTCTTTTTAGGAGCCAGTAATGTTGTTAACAGATCCAAGTTCTCAAAGATCTCTCCTGGATGTAGCTTAGGAAGCTTTATTGAAAATGTTCCTATGGTATGGATGAAAGTCAAAAATGAAGAGTAAGTGATGTAAAAACTGCTCAGATGTTCTACAAAATGCCTGTTGTGTTCGGTTGGGTGAAAAATTTTTAGCAAGAAATTTTATTGTGATTTGGAGGAAAAACATACATCTTTGTAAGAATCTCGTGAAACAATTTGTTTCTGTTAATTTTGTTACCAAATATTACTGTTCAGTAACAACATAGCCTTACATCACTCTGTCAACAACCTCAAAGGTTACTGGTCTCTGATTGTCATGGTGCACATGTTACCTTTCTCAACATCATAAGATGCAGACTCTCTCCCATCTTCAATAATCTCTCCTGGTAAATTAAGCCTGGGAGAAAACAGGAAGAAACATATCAATTAGGGGAATATGAGTTGATCCAATACCAAATTCTCCAAACTCACACAATGAGAATTGTACAGTAGACAGTAATAAGAATTACTTAAAAGATATTTGGAGTAAAATACTTCACATTCTGGATAAATATTTGTTTGTTTTTTAGTTTTGTTTTGTTTTGTTTTGTTTTTTTTTTGTTTCGTTTAGTCTTATGTTTTTATCCTAGCAGAATTTGAGTCCAGATCAAAGTTTTGCTAATTATGCTTTACATACAAAGGTACACGTTCTTGATAGCTTACCTCAGAAAGTATGGCTTGACATAAAATTTAAACACTGTGTCATTGATGAAGAAATCGACATCTGCAATCTACTGGTTACAAAACATCTAAGTTTTAAATGCAAAACATCATAAAAAATCATTACGATAAGGAATAATTCACTAACTATTTGCTTATCTAAAGCAGGTTAAGCATGTTTCTTTTTCAGAAAATCGTTCCATGTGTTTTCCTCCTAAACTACCTGCAGATCCTGTTTGAATCGCTTACCTTCACATAGGGAGTTTTTATCGACACAAAAACGAACTCATCGTCTTGGCTAAGCTCAAATACAGGAGTAAGCATGTTTCAGAAAGCTATGCTCGATGCTGAACCATTTTGATCGTTAATAGATCTAAACATTATTGCTGAGGCAAGAAATTCGCTAATAGTCGTCCGCCATGTTGAATCCATGCTCCCCAGTTTTCGCGCAGTCTAAAGAAGTTTAGTAACCAGGCTTCTTACGGCTACCAAGGAAAAAGCTTCTTTTTTTCATGTTACCAAAAAAATTGACAACTGAGAAAAAAATTTCATCGCCAACTGCTCCAGGTAAGAAAGAACTGCTGGTATAAAGACGACTTAATAGACCCTGGGATGTTCGAAAGTGATTTTTTCCATATTTTGTTTAATATTCTATAGGAGACAGATCATAAGATCGAAATCTAAAAAAGTGGCAAATTTTTAATCTAGTGGAAATTAAACCCACGCTCAGCTTATTTTTCTATCTTGAAGTGCAACAAAGCTCTAGCTAAAGTTTTTCTATTATGAAAACTGATGCAGCCAAATTATTAACTCTGTTCAAATGTCTAAAATAAGTTCTTTATTTATTTTTAGTGAGATTCAAACACGATTACTATAAAATATCTGAACTCCTGAAAGTAAACAGATTTCCGTACGCACGATCTGCTGAAAATTACTTATTTCTTTGCTTTTCTTATCTAGAATTAATCAAGAGATTGTTTGTAAATGCTCCCCAGGAGATCTTTGGTAATTTTTCAATTTTTTCATTTCGTTTATTCCTGTCTCACCTAGTGTAGAACAAGAAAATGTAATTTCGGAAAAAGAGGGGCTATCAGTTTGTTTGACACTCAAGCTCATCTGTAAAGGTTCCTTAGAATAAGACAAATTCAGGAAAAAGATATCAGTAATTAAACATTTTCCCCGGGTCACCTATGCGCGATGAGGAACTAATTACCAAAACAAAATTGTCATTTACCTCGCTGGCACTACCGCCTTTTACAACAGTCTATTAAAATTTTCAAAATATTCAAGAAATTTGCGATGACTTAAGAAGTTTTCGAGGCCGTACACCTAGCCGTTGCTATCCATTTACAATAGAATATATTCTCACGTAAGAATTGAAAAGAGCACTTCAATCCAAGCTTTGTGTCTATTCGAAGGCTGCAATTAAATTTGATTCAGTTTACTTTTTTATTCACCCCTAAAACGAATCAATGACATCATCAGAGTTTTGCCTTAGGGTGGATCGAGATCTGCAGATAGTTAAGTTGATAAACATCCTTTTTCACAGCATTAGTTCTTAGCATTTTTCCGCAAATTTGATAAATGTTTCATTTTAAAAAGCGTTTTAATTTACTTAAGTAAAGCATTATCGCAGGCAAAGAGTTTTGCGATACACAGTATCTCGATTTTTGCTTCCGCTGTTTCTCGAATCTCGTATAATTTCATTGGACAGAAATTAGGTTTGTTTGGTGTCATTAGCAAAGGTTTCAAGAGTAATATTTTTTCAAAAAGTGCAGAGCGTTGTGGACATCGACGAGTGCTCTCTTCTCAAAAACAAGGTGCAGGAACGTCGACTTTATGAGAATTATGATGGCTGGTGATCAGAATGGGAAAGCTATCAACGTTACTTATACCGCCATTGCAAGTTTGGCGTTTTGTGCAAACTCGTTAGTTTGTAGTCTCTTCGCGAAAAACAGAGGTTTACTCAAGAAATCATACAACGTGTTTTTGTTAGTCTTGGCTATCACTGATTTATTGACCGCCATACTTCTCTTGGTTACTTCGTCGATCGCATTAAATGGATTGAAACCCTGGAAAAGTAAACGCGATGTACAGGGCGAGGTATCTTGTTGCCATATTTGGTTAACATGGATTGCGTTTACTTTCAGCAACGCCTCAGTTTATATTTGCCTCGTCCTGACGTACAGGCGTTGGTGTGCTGTGGTCAAACCATTAGCTTACCAAATAAATTTCAACAAGAGACGTTTGATTGGTGGGTCTGTGGCCATATGGCTGATCGCGTTGCTTTCATCAACACCACGACTTGTTGAGATATCCTTTGACGCGAGTACGTCTGATATCGTTAATATATGTGGCTTCGGGAAGACAGTTTTAGAAACAAACCGGAAGATCTTGGCAGTAATTCAGCTAATTCTGAACGTAGCCATACCTTCAGTGGTGGTGACAGGAGTTTATTTTCACATGCTTTTTAAAATGCGAATCCAAAACAACCAGGTTTTACCCAGTGACCGCGCTATTCGAAGCCGCCAAGGAAGAATACGTATGGTAAAAATTGCATTATTCTCGATGATGTCATTTTGGATGCCTTATCAAGTGTTACATTTGCTGTCACTATTTGAGATCGTAGAGATGACCTTCCCATCATACCACTGGACTGCGACCTTGGTGTTTGTTTCTTCTTGCGTCAACCCCTTCATATACGGTGTCACTAATCATAGTTATCGACGAGGTTACTTTGAAATTGCGTTAGGTTGTTGTCCGGTCAAGGTACATGGTTTTCTGTCACGCCATCTGCCCTTATCGCAAACGCACCACGCTGCGATATTAGTTCATTCTTTACACGGGAGGGTGAGGCCGGCATCAGCACCTCACAAAATAGGACAAGCGATAAAACTAGAACTGACAGACCCATAGTTACCGCTTCCTTGAGTTATCTCGAGGCTATGATCCACTACAGCACTTTGATGAAAAAATTTGTTCATCTAAGTCTTGACAGGATTCTGAAAAATCAATACCAGTGGCTCGCTGGAATCCGGAAGAATGGAATCTTGTTTTATCAGTTTAAATGATGACTTCCTCATTATGACTCGATCGGGACGATAAAAAGTACCAAATCAAAGTATATCGATATGTTTATTAACTGTATATAAATAATGTTAATAGGACCGAGTGAAGTCCAATTTAGTCTGTATTCATACGAGTGATTATCAAAATCGAACGACTGCGAGGTGATGGTCCGAGTTGTCAATCACGAGTATGACTACAAACCGAGTAATCACAATCATTCCAATTTCCGAGAAAAAAAAAAAAAACTACATCTAGAGAAAATACATCCCGTGAGAGTCACTGTCAAAAGTTAAAAAATTCCTCCATTTTGGAAATTCCCTAACTTCTTTTTTTTTCTTCTAGGATAAGTGGTTGTTGCTATGGTTATTGTAATCAATTCTGCGATTGGTGAATTTAGCTGAGTCATGGAATATGATTTGCTGCTTTAACTGTCTGAACACAGTTGTTCGATTACAGCCAACTGTTGGATTAAACAGTCCGATTACAGCTCTACAGAATAATTAGTGAAAAATTAAGCAGCCAATGTACCAATCAAATTAGGGGAAAGTGTAATGGTTATGATTAACATCGATTTCGCATTGGATACTTCACTCACGTTTACAGCAAAAAGTTGCTTAAAAAATACCTTTAGTTGGACCATTCACGAAAATGCTTTTTGTTTTCTGCCAGGTAACTGGGAGTTGAAATTCAATCTTGACTTCACTTTATTCATTTTCCCTGTATAGAAACGTCATAAAAAAAGTATAAATTCTAAAGAGGGAGATCCTATTATATTACAACTCAACATTGTTAAATTTCAAAAATAGACATGTCACTTCCTTATCACGAAACATTCAAAAGGAGAAAGAGGTCCTTGATTGAAAAGCGGAAAATAAAGCCAGGATCCAAAAAGCGTCAAAGTGTAAATTTGCTGATGAAAAATTGCTGCTGGGGAATGACAAGGGTTCGTAGTTTGCCCAACATGCAAACACTGGCGAAGACATGTTTTCTCGGTTTTACCCTATTAATGACCACCGAAAAACGTGATCGCAGAAGCCACTAGAAAAAGCCGTGACTGAAAAAAGTATCTCTTTCAGATCAAGGGTCATTTTGCTTACTGCGAACATCAGAGGTTCTAGTATACTTTTGGCTAACAGCTCAAATAGTTAGCCTGTGAATCCTCCGAGAAGGCAAAACATGCTTCAGTTCTAACACTTTAGAGAACGAAAATTCTTGAAATGATTTCGACTCAATATTCCTCCTCTTCGAATGAGTTTATAAGGTGAGATGAATTGACGAAATTCCGTGAAATTTGGCCCGAACGTATGGGGAGTCTCTCGAATAAGCCTAAAAAGGCTTCAGAGAGTTCCTGTTCAAGTGTTTAAACCATGATAATCTTACGCAATTAAAACAAAAAAAATAGTATCGTCGGGGTTTTAACCCAAAACCATCCTCCCTGATGGCCCTGGAATGCAACACGTTTGCAAATTTTACGTTGTGAAACTTTACAAATCAATTTAAAGAAGAAAATTTTGCTTGGACGCTGATGGACACTGAGCAGTTACTTTAAGTCCTTTAAAAAAAAAAGATCACATTTGATACCTGATGAATGGTCATCAATTCGGCAGATTGTGTTCGTGACTGAAATAGCCCATGATGTCTTGCGCCCGCATTTAATAATCTTTTTATCGAGATATAGATTGTAGTGGTTTCTTGAAAAGCAGCGCACGTAAAATTTTTTCCTAAGAAGACATACAAGAATGTTTGGATTAACCTCCATGCGTGGAAAGAGAATTTACGGTTTTTTGAACGATCCCATGACCGAATGTCCCTCTGATCACGTCCGGTTGCAGTGTCATGTGATACTGCGATGTACTTTCCCCTTCTTCAACCAATATTTACTCAGTGACTCGACAATATCCCAAGGAAGTATAAATATCGACAAGCAGAGACTTGCTACGAACTGTAACACAGATAATTTTAGTTTCGCCTCGAACTTCGTCCGGAACGACGATCATTGTTGTTAGATCCGCCTGACACTCCGCAGTGAATCAAGTAAGTGAATATCAGCAGATGTACAACGCTCTACAATCGAATCCTAATCAACCTAAACAAAATTTGAATTTCTGAAAAATCCTTGGCTGGACGTACATATCGGAGCGGACTGTACGGCGAGGGTTGGATGCCTTTCTGAGGTAAGCAAATTATAAAAGCAAAAAGATTGTATTCAGAGATTTCAAGTTAGAAATTAATGGCAACTTGTAGAGGAAAACATAAGTCGCGTCTTCCCAGAGAATTTGTTAGCACAAGAAACTTAATCACTGACAGCTTTCTAAGGTAAATAAAACGCGGATATGAAGTTTCTGACATGAGAAGTGCATATATATATATATATATATCGGCGCAAAAAAGAGGAGGACACCGGCTAGTGCTTTTTTTTTCTCGTTTTAATCGCCGATAATCATGAACCTAGCCCGCCCTCCTCGTGATAGCTTTATGAAACCGGATGGGTATTCACCACGATGTCATGATGTCCAATACGAAACTAACTTTTCAATTTATTATAAGTAACAGCACATTTACATGAATATACCGTCTTTGTAAAAAGTCACTCAGGGTTAGCTTTAACAAAAGATTTGTTTTAGCAATTTGACACGGTAAGCGCTCTCGACTATAATTCACTTATCCCAGCCATATATAGATTTTATTACACTCAAAGAGACCCTAGATTCCAGAGGTCAATAGTTTCAAGGCGACGTCATGCGAAACCGCTGCTAGTGATCACGTCACACAGTTTTGCAAGTCTCTAGTAACGATTCGTATTATATTTGTCTCTCTGTTCAATTTGTCAAATACGACGTCTGCAGCCTTTCAAGGCAATAAGGAGCATTTCTTTTGTGGGCGGACGGGCGTGACAGAGGGGGACCACCACAAAACGATTCTCTGAAAAACTCTTACAGTTACTTTTTTCATTTCAGACAACATGCTGAAAAGTGACAATGAGGTTCTTTTCTCAGGAAGACCCATTCTCTATGCTGAGGGCCAGTTCGTGGCATGTCATTTCAACCCCTCTCAATATGTGCCCTTCAGAAAGATCGGAAAGAATAACCTTAAAGAAGAACTTCGAAGAGCGACTGGTACAGAACACGGTCGGACGGATGTCCTCTTTGAGGTAGGTAAAAATAGTAAAAAGATGACAAAAATAACAGGAAATATTAATTAAGTCAAGTTCAGAAATTTATACCAGCATCTAGAATTAGAGCCCTTTGTTCGGTTCATCTGACCAAGCAATGTCATTTAATATGTTTCAACCATAAAAATTTTGGTAAAATACATTAATTTGTACATGGAGGTGGGGAGGGGGATATATATATCCCAAGCCTTGATTTCCGAATCTCTCTTGCGTCCCGTCGTCTTTCTTCCCCATGAAAGGATTCGAGGGAATGTTCGCTGGCTCGTTTCCCTGAACAGCGGCGGCATACAAAAGCCTTGCTGGCTATCCTGCTAATGTTTCCAGTCCCTGATTGATGTCAGAAAATAATTTATGCGATAATATTTTAGATTCCAGTTGCTTTGCATTTAGAGTTACTTTTTTTTAATTTCCTTGTTATGAACTAACGATTTTGCAATGAAGTTTTTTTGAATTATCATTCTCCCCCCTCAGCAATTACTGACCTTGCAGTTATGTCAACATTTTTCGCCATCCTGATATAAGTTTGAATTTTCCTATTTAGAATTGATTTTTTTTTTCCTTATTGATTTTAGACTAGAAGAAGGAAAAAGGGAACTAGGGAAGATCAATATGAAATGATTTATCTGAGTGATAACTTTGTAGAGGAAGAATCATCGAAGGAAATTGCCCCAAACCAAAAAGATGAAAAACAACAGAAGCAGCTTCAGCAGAAACTAAAGCACTTCTCGGAATTACTTCAATGGATTTCGCTAGAGGGCGACGAATTCGTCCACATCGAAACACTACGAGACTTCAACGACGTTTTCATTTTACTGGATGTTATAGGAAGAAGTCAGAATCCAGTTTTGATTAACTTACTGATTCGTGACAACGAACCTAACACAATCACTGTGTCTCTTTCAAATGTGACCGTCAGTCTACAGAGTTTACTCTTCTGTATGTTTCCAAACTAATTTCAGTATTTTCAAAACCAGTTTTGACATGAGGCTGTTCCTGAAGTAGCTGGATCAGACACAGTCGGCGTTTGACATGTTCAATGTTATGCCAAAACCAAAGCCCTTGCTGCAGCTCCTCAAAGGAATCTAGCCTGCTACCGGACAGCAAGATTTGAGACGATTTGAAGATTTGAGACGAGCAAGAGTACGCGTGCACCTGGACTATTTCGAACCGGCGACATCCAGTGCGAGGACAAATAAGCAAATCACACGAAATCTCACGAGCCCAAAGTTTATAGCATTCTACCACCTTGGTAGAATGCTATAAACTTATATTCAGGCTGAATGGCCTTCATTTTTGTAAATTTTTTAGTTTGCTTCAAAACGTACTAGGTCCAACCACACTTACAAACTGCTGGTGAAATTGGCAAACTGTAATTGTTATAAATACTCTTTTTTTTGTTAAAATCATTCCTGAATGGAATGACCTGCCCTCCAATGTCGTTGAGATAGGTAACTTAACACGTTTCAAATCAGCTCTTAAATTCTACATGCGTATTTCTTAGATTTTATCCATCCTATATTTTATTATAAGCATACATTTCTAAATTTTATTTCTTTGGAGGTTTATTTACAGACGGTTAACCTCTTAAACTTCCTTTTTAGGGTATTATTTGTGTTGTTTATTTTTTTGATACCTTAAATAAAGTATGTAGGTATGTATGTATGTATGTAAACAGTTGTTTAAAACTTTGGGACATCGATTTCTTCCTTTAATGCTTAAATCCAAAGCATGTATGCATCTTTTAGAACCAATATCAAAATCTTCCATTTATAAATACACTGAAAATTCAAAGTGGCTCCGTGTAACAATGGCTTGATATGATTGTTTTAAAAAACTACTTTTTGTAAACCTGTTTGTTGTTGTTGTTGTTGTTGTTTTTTTTTTTAAGGATGAAAAGAAGAAAGCACCTATCAACTTGTAGCCGCCTTGCTCAGGCTTATCGACGTGACAGGCTTATCGACGTGACAGGCTTATCGACGTGACAGGCTTATCGACGTGACAGGCTTATCGACGTGACAGGCTTATCGACGTGAGTAAGGTTCACATTGCAATTCGCAAAAACTGCAACACTTCTCTGGTTGAATAATAGTTTATTCACCATCAAAATTTCAAGGAAATTGAAAGATGAAGTTCACAGCAGAAAAAATACCCTCAACTGTTGAACACTTGTTTCTGTTTTCCTTAAAGTTGCGTTTCCTTTGACTACATGTTTCTCGTCAGGGCTTTTAAGCCTGCGAACGTTTCCTGTCCCACGGGGATAATCTTATCCGGGGGAAGTATGAATCCCCCTTGACCGAAAGATTTTGGGCGGAGTTCCACTCAATAGGAATGAACTACTCCTAACACACCGAATGTCCAGTCAGTTGTGTCACCAGTGGTGGGATCTAGAAAAGAAATGAAGCCAGTGATGTTATAGAGAAATTTCAATTGATTGTCGTTAGTGATCCTGGACTGCTTTGCTTTTACTTAACTTTGATCTATGATCGTTCCAGATAACTCACACCATCCTCTCATGCAACCAATCAGCTGTCAAACTTAAACGCAATCGCGACTTTGTCATGCCCGTTTTCCCGCACTTCAAACAAGTTGCCTTCTTCTACTTTGTTCTCACTGGTCAATGATGAGGTTAACCTTTTTTATGATTGGTAGTTGTGATTACTTTGGTTTCGATTTTTCAACGCTCAACTAAAGAATTCTCTAATGACATTATCCTCTTGATTGAGCTCCTTTCATATGAGTCTCGTGAAACTAAAGCCGAAGCAGTCACTACAGCAAATCAGATGTGGGAAGGAACCAATCGGAACTCTCAGATTTACCTCAGGACTACCTTGTCATGTGTAACTTGATAAATACTTAATACTTACAAATGGTAATGGCAGCCGGTCCATAATCGTATTTGGTTCCATGCACTTTTGTGAGTGCATTGACAGCAGCAGCCATGGCTTTTCTCTTTACAATACAGGACAAAATGGCAGCGTCAGTGGTAAATCATCTTGGATAGCCAAACACAATTCTATAGTATCTCTTATGTTTACATAGATGATGTACAACATGAAAGAATCTCGCGTTCTGAAATTTTGGGGTTTAGGCTTTTGTAAATATCAGATAAGGCAACCAGTGCAACCTCGTAGGCTTCCTTTTTCTGGTGAGAGTGCCTACTATTATGATAGTAAACTATTTCGCGTATAAGCTATATCTCTGATAATCTCTCCATTATAACAAGTCTGCTATCTATTAAACATTACCCTTTATATTAATCTTTCAACCATACCGTTCTTATTCGATAAAGCGCCCTGGGCGCTTGTTAAATTTTTGGACCCTTCGAGTGGGCACTTATCCGAGGTAAGCATGCATTTACTCGGGATTTCCGCTTATTCGAGGCTGGATGCTTATTCCAATTTCACTATGTTCGGTAAGTAGTAAGTTTATTTTTCCACAAAACATGGAATTATAACAAAACGTGAAGATAGACTATAAACCGGAGCAGCCTCAGTTGAAAGAAGTGTTACGTTTCATAAGTTTTAATTCTTTGCTTACCATCTTATCGTACTGAGGGGGGTAGGCATTGGTGTATCCCCAGGGACTCATCCACAGTTGACTGTATGCATGAAAATCAATATATCCCTTCAGCTCAAATCTGCGTTCATACAGATATTTCCCAACATTATAGGTCACCTTCTCGGAAAATGGTCGCTCTCCAGTATATATGTCACTGCTTGGACGACTTGAGGTTCCAACTCCTAAAAAATTTGTATTATCGAGAGGTTAAAAAGAATACAATAAGTGTTCCTTTGTTTCTCGCGCTAAATATGATATCTGTCCTCGTAAAATGTTAATTCTCCGTTTTCAACGGGGAGCTGCTTGTAAATCACTCGCTCCTCGCTGCAACAAATCTTTAAAGGAACTCCTGGGAAGAGTCATTGGCAGAATTCTCAGTGGCCATCAGCTGTGGGAACTCTCCATTTTCAGTGTTTGTTCCCATGGAACATCACCGCCGGCAACTGAAGCCCGCTAAAACGAAAGCAGTCGCTACTCACGCTTTTTCATATGTTGTCTAAAAATGTTGATCAAGAAAAGTAATAATCCGGCTGAAACAGGTTTTCCTCAAAAGAAAACGGAACAACCAACCTAATCTTAACTTGAACGATTGATCCTAAAAAGACCCGAAGTTTGGAAGACAAACACATGAAAAATTCTTATTCGGCTGCGGATAGTTGAAGATTTATGAGAGTCAGTTTAACTTTTAGCCTTTAGAGTTTATTTGTGCTTTAGTGGGACATTGTTAAAAGTTAAAAGGCATACCTGCGAAATGATAATTGAAATTTCTGTTCGGATCAGCTCCGTAACTTCCACTGATTGGGCGTCTCGTTTTTCTCCACATGCGATTCTGAGAGAGCAGATTCAAAAAAAATATCAACTTTACCCAAGCTCTGGGTACGAACAGTTACCGTTTACACCCTGACATCAACATGTACTGTTCTTTATACATTCTCTATGTGACTAACAAGAGGGATTAGTCAAGAACTTCTTTTAATGACGATCGTTTTCTTTATTCTCCTGAGCCTGATGCATCATTCATAAATGAAACTGTTAGGAGAATTTGGATGTTAGTCACTATTAGAGGTTAAAGGGCCAAGGTATATGGGGTGGGATGAGTGGGATGAGTGGGATGAGTGGGATGAGTGGGATGAGTGGGATGAGTGGGATGAATGGGATAAGTGGGATGAGTGGGTTGAGGGCCGCATGTTAAAAAACTATAACAGGTTATTGCGCTTCCCTCTTTAAATAAATTTAAAGTTAAAGTTAAAAGAAGGGTAATAGGAGAGTTTTCATAGTGTCTAATTTCGCTTCATTCTGATGCTCTTTATGATTGACTGGCTTCTGATTTCTTCCTATATTATTACCATTAAATAAAACATACATGCGGAGGTTATGAGAATGAAGGAGATGGTCGCCAATTCAAAACCTTCCCGATTGCCAAACAAACGGGAAATTGTATAGGGTGTTGTCAATTTTTTTTTTCACCCGATGACAACATTTATCGATTGAGAATTGGTATATGATTTTGTTTTTCTTGGTATACAAAAGGAGTGCCTTCTATGTAAAAATTAGCTGGATCTTGGAACTTAGCGCTGGAAATCTCTGAAATAACATTTGTTACTTGTTCTCTCAAGGGATCAAACGAGTCTTTTCATAGGTCACTCACAGCCACTCATTCAAAACAGTCACATACATCATCGCATCAGTGACAATCCCGGCCGCGCCTCGTGTGTATGGCAGGATTGGCATCCATCATCATTTTTTCATATGATTGGTTAATTCGTATCACGTGGTACAAAATGCTTTTCTCTGATTGGTTGTGCACCATATCAGTCCCATATACTACAGTGAAGATAATACATATGGTTTCTTACATTAGTGTGTGTGTATTCATATCCATCGACGTTCAGCACTGGCACAATTACCCACTCGTAAGTGTCGAGCATAAACTGAACATCAGCATTGGAGTTTCGAGTTTCCAACATCTGGGAAAAAGAATGACATACATTTCCAATCATAAATGTTAGATTTAAAGGTAAGTCCTGCATACGAGACTGCCTCGTATAGCCGAGGAAGTCTCTCCTGCGCGCAGTTTCCCAAAAGCGCATAAGACTATCCAACGGATTTATCGCTCTCCAATGCAATAGATAGGCGTTAACGGAACTTTCTGCGCCTGCTATCCAACGGATAGAGATCTATCCAGTAGATGGCGAAGTTAACGAGATTTTCATGAGGTTTGCATTTGCTCGGACAATAGGAACAAGAAGTTATTTTAACAGCTATTGTTAAAATCGGCTTGTATACGTAAGGAATTGTCCTAACACGTAAAGTTAAGGGAAGCGTAAGCCCGGCTCCAGTACGTGGTAAGTTAAAGCACATGCAAAGGAAACAAATAAATAAAAAGAACCTCATCAAATGTTGTTCACCTGTCGTATCATATACATGCAAGTAGCCGGGCTTATCCATTCCCTGGCGTGAATTCCACAATTGAAGAAGAACAGACCTTTCTTGTTAGACGCAGAGCCTTTTAAAATCTAGAATGAAAAGCAGACATGATCAATTTAAAACCTATGTGAACCATTAGATGGGAATGGAATTGGTATTTTAGAAAAATCCGAAAAACTGGACAAAAATTGGTTTATGAATAAAGCTTTCATCATTGAAACAATATCGACAAAAAAAATAAAACAAACAGCAATTCAGCAAAATCCCTATTTCAAACCTGGCTCAGTTAATTCTTCGAGACTAAGGGTGTTTCTAAAAACTTAAAAGTTTCCAGAAACTATTACTACTCCTATCAAAATAACTGTGAAAAAATTGTTTTCGAATTTTTCAAGTGATTTTGTGCTTTCTAGGGAAAGTNAAACGTCAGCTTTTGTAATCGTTACGGTGGCCAATTTACCATTTCAACTTTGTTGATATATCCCATTTAATCCTTCAGATACGACGAGTACTGCCAATTTTACGGGGATTGAGCACCCACCCCAGCCCTCTAGGTGTACTCCTCACCTCCCCCAGCCTGTGATATTTGTTGTCAAATCCTGAAGCTCTTGATGTTGCCTGTTCCTTTTTTATGGCCTGCTGCACATCCTCTTGTGAAACTTGGAAGGAAATACTAGCACCATTGAAAAGACCTTCAAGTTTTTGGATTGCAGTTGGCTCGACGTGAATTTCAACAGGGTCTAGAGACTCGGTGGGATAAGTCCAGAAATCAATCTGAAATTGAGGATCAGTCTTATTTTAATCATTTTTTTTTTTCAAACAGGAATTAAAAATTTCATAACTGCTTTCATTATCAAAAAGTTAAATTATATCCAAAGAGGATTAAGGCAGGATAATGTATCCTTAAGACGGGTTTAATCCTAAAGAAACGGTCTTTGAATTTTATTTCGATCATTCCTTTTACAGATTTTCAGGAGATTGTATAAGTTTTGTTTTACTACGCTTTACATTTTGTCCAGAAAATGTCCCTCTGAAGGAAAACTAAATCATCCATGATTCGGTAACACGCCTTCATTTGCACTTCAGGCGAGTTACCTAGGGCTTGCTAATCGCGTGTGTCACGCAAGGGCCTTAGAATGCGAACGCCTTTATGTTTTGTGGCTTCTTACTTACACCATCCTCTCCTGCTTTGAGAATGTTATCCAAAAACTTCACGTCGTCTTTATTCTTCGGAAAAGCGCGGTAAAGCTTATGCCTGTTAAATGAAATACGCTATTTCAGCATTCACAACTGTTATTATCTGTAAGTGATTCCTACAGAATTACAATATCTCGATATACTTTCAGCACATAAATTAAGAAGAGAAATTTCAACAGAAAAAGGAAAGGGAAAGTTTCTAATTTACTGTCGTCCTTTTGGAAGATTTCGCATTTTTTATTGACTTAGCTTTCCAGATGGTTGCCGCAAAAGATCTCTTAAAATTAAAAAAAGCGTTTATATTTAGACATTTAAATATAATTCAGGCCTTCGTTTCCAATCTTTAGTTCTTGGAAAGTAAAAATAATAACAAAAAATTGAATACTAAGTGTTAAATTGTTTGAGAATATTTTTCTCAGTCTTTACTGAGAAAGACTAAGGGTAGGTTTGCGGAGTCAAATGCAACTATTTATCAATTAAATCTTTTTAATTTCCAGTTGATTTGCGTTCTCGCTGCTATGGAACGTTGGCCTCCAGAAAAATTTGTTTATTCGGCCGATGATTATTTCAATGCGTTGAGACTTTTTGACTTGAAATAACTCAATTCGTAACAGAAAGACAAACTCTTTGTCCGACGAGTGTTGACGTAAAGGACATCTCGACGCAAATTTCAATTTTCTCGCAAGAAGTTATTTGTTACGCACATTGTCTCGATACTTATTGTACCGTGAGCGGAGTATCAGCGAAAAGGAAGTTTTCGATTCAAAACGACTCTTGAGGCAAAAGGAAATATCCCGAGATCAGAAGTGATAAAAAGTATAATGAACGATTACTATCATAACGATTTGCCGGCAGCGACCCGTTGGAGGAGAGTGGTTCTGTGGTTCTATGGTTCGCTGCGAAAACGGTTCGATTCGAGAACTTTAAATTGAGAGATCCAACACTTATTTGATTTAGAAATCTAACACATCCTAATATGAAAATCAAGATTAATATAAACGGTAGATTGTGGAAAATGATCTCTGAGATTACTTACCCTTCAAATGATTTAGGATCGCCGAAAACAAAAGCGAACAGGAGAACGAGAGCGAATTCTCGTGCACCCTGCATGTTGACCTGGAAATATCTGTAAAAACCTCTCGCGGCGTTAAGTGCTTCGTTCTCTGACTCACCATGCTCCCCGCACTTAAAACAAATACGTGAACAGACTAAACAATTATTCTCACGGACAAACAACGGAGGGGTGGGTGCGGATAGTGAAGAGGTTTTGCTGAGCTAATTGTTCAAAATAACAAAGCGAAAAAGTATGATTTGTAGAGAATGGGAAACATTGAACAGAAAGAAGAGTTTTTTACGTGATTAGCCTCCTTCTACTTATTATTCCCCTCAAGATCTTCTGAGAGAATTGCAATTTAGTGATTACGACTCCAAACGTTATTGAGACAGCTTTGTTGCCTCAGTTGAGTACCCCAATCACCTGAATATGCAAAGGCGATGGATTGTGTTTTCTTTTAAGTACTGTTTGAATGCAAAACCCAACACAGACCCTGAAAAACCATTAGGAAAAAGCGGTCTCCGCGACTGATTACACATACGTAGAAATTTGAGTGAAAAAGTGAGTCGCGAAAAGCATCCGGGAAATAAAAAACGTTTAAAAATTATGACAGTTCAGAATTGGCCACAAACAATTCATGAAGAACAATCGATGTTGGACCGACTTTGAACAGATGAACAACAAAAATCTCGTTTATTCTGTATGACAACGATTCATCCTCTCCTGAACGGAATAGTCGCACTTGGAAATGTTTTATTTAATTTCATTTTTGATGGAAAAATACAGAACAATAATAAGGAATGTTAACACCAGCTTCTCGCCTTAACATAATCTGCGAAATGTCGTTAATGTTATTTCTTTGTTTGCGCTGAAATGGACTCCTCTTTAAGTCGGCGGCAGTACAAATCAAAACGAAAATATTTTTGTTGCAATAGAGATCTACAACAGCCCGAAACCGAAAACATTTTCCATGATAGTATCAGTCGGCCAGTTAATGTTCAAACCAAGAAAATGTCATAAAGGTGTCTCAAAATTACTTCGCTATCCGGCGAAAGCCAACCTTTTGATTGGTCAAAATGATGTCTCTTTTATTAGTGCTTCCTTAACAAGGATAAAGTTAAAAATTTGCAGCGATATCTTAAGAATTTGTAAGGATTTTTCTGACACGCACGATTACCGTAGTTTCTAGTTTTACTTTTTTTCGCTCTGTGATTGGTCTAGGCCACCTTCACACCGACCTATCAGACGCAAAGCTTGAATTGACCAATAGCAATTTGGCCACAACTTAATGCGTTCTACCGTGTTTTACGGCACTTGATGGGTTGAACAAGCAAATATTTTGAGTTCTCATTAGTTCCCTACCATATTACTATGAGTAGTTACGATTTTTTTGGGTTTGTTTTTGCCACAATCATTCAAATCACGATCATGATCTTGTAGCTTTAAGCAAGAGGACTATAGTTAAGTTGAACAGATTGATTTTGACATTGTCCAACGGAGAAAAACACTTCCTCGCGCCAAAACAAAGAGTATACCGGGATAAACTTTATTTAAAACTCCTTTTAAATCTTTGTGAATAAACAGTTATGTTATCTTCCATTATTGACAAATTTTAACAATATGGCTTTGCTTCCTATTCATAATCCCTGTATCTGAATATCGTCGTCACATTAATATTTTAACATAGTTTTTACGCTCTTCGCCATGTTTTCTATCTAACATGGGATGCCAAGGTCTTCAATCCAGCGACTGCCTCCTTCCCAACAGGTTCAATGTATGAAGGAGAAAGGATGAATCCCTTTTGAGAGAAGATGGATGGTTGCAGCTCGACTCCATAAGAATGCGTGACACCCAAAACACCGTACACCCAGTCGGTTGCGTCACCTGAAGTCTTATCTGTCGATCAAATCAAAGCATGGTTATAACATAACCAAAGTAAAGCGCGCGCTCTGATTGGTCAATTTAGCGTCCCCCATTTGCCCATGGGTGTACGCTGCTGACGTGAGCAAATGCAAAGACTATTTTTCCGCGCGCGCTTGTTTTTTCTGGTCGCGTAAGATTTGTTAAATAAAAGGGAACTCTTTAGCTACAATGTATCAATGTTATGTTATAAAACAAATGGTAAACACCACAGCGTACACTATTGAGTTATGGATGCACTTGGGAGGTTTGCTAAGCACTCAAGAAGCTAGAGTCGCTCTCGGCTATCGCCTCGAGCGACTCTTACGCTTCTTTCGTGCTTAGCAACCTCCCGCGTGCATCCATAACTCAATAGTGTACGCTGTGGTGTTTACCATTTGTTAATTATGACGTCACTGGTTGTGTTCACTCTGATAGCGTGGTTTATTTCACTCACTGTTTGTTTGTATTCGTGGGCGAAGGAGATGGCAGATATTGAAGTTTTGTCAAGTGAATCTTCGTCTGAACGAAGCGAAGTTGTCTCCAGTAGCGGAGAGGAAGATAGTGGCGTAAAATGGGGTTGACAGTTCTACACGGCTCCCAGGCGTGTGTTTAGAGTAGCATATTCAAAGTTTAGCCCTCACGGGTATGTCTTTGAGCGACCGCCCTCTTTTGTAAGATACGAGCGGCGGATTTTTGTATAGTTCGCTCAGTTATTGAGTAGTGGTTGTGTTTCTATTAAATGCCAGTTTCTCATGAGAATTTGCTTTATGTGTGGCACCGAGTACGCACATCAGGGATTGCGTCGTTTTCGAATCGTTCGCCTTTGTAGATGTAC